TTGTTGACATTTCTGTCCCTTCTTGTTGACATTTCTGTCCCTTCTTGTTGACATTTCTGTCCCTTCTTGTTGACATTTCTGTCCCTTCATGTTGATTGGTCAGAAGTTTGTTGGAGTGGTTTTTTGTGATGAAATTGCTCGGACTCTGCTTCAGCCCCTCGTTTAAAAAAAAAACCTACTTGCTTCCAGAAACTGACTGTTGTAGCTGCAGGAGGCAGACGTTTAYAAGAAATTATTTTATTGATTTGACTTCATTCATGTAAACAACAAAAATCCATTAAAAAACAAAGTATCTGAATGAAGAAGGTGCAGAAAGAAGTAACAAATCTTATATCTGCCCTATTTTAWAAACAACTTGAAACAAAGTTAAACTTGAACAAGCTCCCTATTTGACAGGGAGCSAGTGGAGAAAAGCTAAAGCAGTTTTAGATGTTATAAAACATTATTTAATTCATGTCAGTTTGTAAATAAGATTGTACCGTTCAGCCCAAATTGTAGGGAAGAACTCTCAGCTCCACTTTATACAGTACGTATATGTTGTTGTGTTAATAAAGCAGCAGTTAGCACTCAGAGTACATGTTGGGGATCAGGCTCAGCTACCACCTCATCTGGTTTGATCTGTCAGAGTAAAACAGATCAGAGCCGTTGTTGTGTTTTTACAGTGACTTGGCCACGMCAGCCATCTTGAATCAGTTTTAATCAGTTGTACATTAAATGGTGTATTTTTTATTAAGTTTTATTCAGATTTGTCCAGACGTTCATGAAATGTTTTAGTGCAGTCATGTAGTGGGCAGGATTAGAGCTTTAACTTTGCTTTGTTCAATAATTAACTCCTGCATGTGAGTTTATAAACAGACATTTTTCCACCCAGTTCACCCAGTCAACACCAACACATTCATTGACTTTCAGTAAAGAGGCAGCTGTTCAGTCCTTTCTAACACAACAAGGCTGTTAGCACTATTATGTAACCACAGTTCATGAGTTAAGCTTAATAAATTGGAGCAGGAAATAAATTCAAGTTAATAATGTAAAAAGGGCAGCCTCACTCCTCAGAATGACTCACCTCACAAACACAGTGTGGACGTCTGTTCCCTGTTCAATTAGTTCAAACACAAACCAAAACTGTGCCTCACTGCCTATAAATACATCAGTTTTTCCCTAAATAAATGCTTAAACAAGTGTAAAACTGTCCAAAAACACAACATAGTTAGACATTTAATAATAAACCCTTCTCCATTCCACATATCAGACTAACGTATAAAATCCAGTGTTCTCTGTAGAATAAAAACTGTCATTTTCAGCTTATATAAATCTTGGTACATGATGTGATGCCTACTTTKACAGGAAATAAATCAGAGTTCACAGATTAAGGACTTTATTAGATCCATATGAACAGAAATTGCAATAAGAATCTGATGTTCAGGACTGAGGAGGTGGGACTTTACATCACAGGGGGGGAGCTGGTCAGCATGGTGGCAAACTCAGTGTGAAGGTTCTGRACAAACAAACAACAAACAAACAAATAATTAACACATAATTAAGAGAAGTAAACTGTTTAAAACTAGGCTTTATTCCAGCAACAGTACATTTGTTAGAAACATCTAAGTCAGTGACATCTAGTGGTTAATGAATTAAACTGCACAGATTTAGCTGGTTAAACTTATATATATTTATATATATGTATAATTGAAGATGTTTGACACAGATAAACTAAAACAACAATGGTTATATTATCTCAGTCATCTCTACAGGACTTACATCAGCTGTGGTGGCAGCTGAGTCATAATGGTTTTCACATCAGAACCACAGCTGCCTCTTTATTCATTTATTCTACTGTTTTTATTCATTTACTCTGTTTTTATTCATTTACTCTGTTTTTATTCATTTACTCTGTTTTTATTCATTTACTGTTTTTATTCATTTACTGTTCATGTGGAACTGAAAACCATGAATGAAAGATGTACAACTTACTGCTCTCTACAGCTTTCTTGCCTAGAAAGGAGGGAAATGAAAGACTTTAGTCACAGGCAGAAACACAGATKAAATATTATACATTTTAAATGACTGAACATTTATTTAGCACCATTTTCACATGCAGTCAGAAGAAGTTTTTGTAAAACAACAGTAAACAAAAAGGACATTTTACCAGTAAATTCTACTACATAAATCAGAAAACCTCAGCAGTCTGTATTAGTTGAGCTGTTTTCTTACTTCATCACAGCTCTTCAGCTTGAATTACTGAGTGCAGATAGATGTTTTCCAGAAACAGGACATTTCTGTGAGAGCTGAACTCACCTCCTAATGTCAGTTTACCGTAGACGACGGCCAAGATGGCAACTCCAACCCAAATCTGTGGATGTGCTTTAGTGTGGTAGGGTTTTACCAGGGTCCACCAATCTTTCACCATCTTAAAAACCATCTGGGACAAAAATAAATGAATATATATGTATTTATTAATTAGCCTGTACAGTATGTTGTGTCTTCATTCAGTATATTAAAAATATTAAAGCTGCATCCTGATTGCTTCAACTTTATTCTTTATTCACAGTTAAACAGTGAAATAAATTAGTCCTGATTAACTAAAACAGTAAAGCTGTTCTTAGGAGCATAAAGATTTAGTGTGCTGGTTTAATAAMTCAGGCAGCACAATGTGTCACATGCAAAAATACAGAATATGCATCGTTTTGTCTCTAAATGCTAACGCTAAATATAATGTTCTGACATATCTTTAACTAAACAGGGTTAAAGCTTTAAATAAGTGCTAGTAGAGTAGATGAAAAAGCACTTTGATTATTTATAAACAGAACTTATAATGACATTTTACTTGATCAAATAAATAAAGCAYTGAATAAACTTGATTATCTTCGGCTAACTAGCCTTAGCAGTAGGCTAAGTTGCTAGTAGCATGATTCGAGCTCCTCAGAGAATAAAACCATTGATTGGTTTGAAATTAGACTCTTGATCCGATCAGTGTTTTCTTGTTTTTACTATAATGACACATTATTTTCCAGAACATTACTCACGGTTTAGTTTGGRCGGGCTGCAGTCGGAAGGTCAGCACAGCAGCTAACGTCAAAGTCAGGAGGAAGGAGAACTCTTCTTCTTCTGGCCTCTCAGCTGTGCTCAGTGTCTCTGGTGACGCAGCGCCGCTTGATGGTGAGACCAGGTAACAGCGGCCGGTTGGCTCCACCCTGTGGAGAAAACACTCAAACAAGAACACTTATTCCAGCTTCGTTTATCATTCAGCTCTAAATTACATTTAATAATTTAATGTTAAAATAATATCTTAAGAATCAGTGGACAGGTCTTAGTGAAATGTTTGATAGTCTTGACCTTTATGAAAAGTCTATATTTACTAGATTAAAATAAACAAATTAAATTAAATGTACACATTGTGTTTGATAAAGGGAAGTATGTTTGTGCAGCTACATGTCACACACTGCAGCTCTCACCGTAGMGAGGGAATAAATAAAGCTCTGGTACAGATCTAACACAACATGGTGATACTTGMTTCTTTTAACACTTTTTCTTCATGAGTTGTGTTGATGTAAAGGACAGAGCTGAGGTTTTCAGGCTGTAAGGTGAGATTTCAGCTGTGCTTCAGGTAGAAACCCTCCTGTTTCAGCTCTTATTGAAGCGTCAGCGTGTGTGTGCTTGCAGGAGCAGCTGTGGTTACACAGGGTGTGTGTGGAAAGGATTCCTGACGTGACTAATCAGGCATCAGAGGCAGCTCGGTGCCTGGACTCTTTCAGTTTGATCAGACACACATCTGTGCATCCTGCAGGCTGGTTTGGTGCCTTGCTCAGAGGCAACATGGCTTCAGGTGGAGCAGACGGACAGGATGGAGGTGTTCCTGGTGATGTGAACGTGCTCCTGCAAGGTCAGTCACACTGTGTGTGTGTGTGTGTGTGTGTGTGTGTGTGTGTG